AGAGATCATGAGGCATAGAGATTTAATAACAGGCTCACATGCTGTGTTAGCAAACAGGTTGAGAGTGAGAAATAGAAGCCTCTGCCACCAGAGGCTGATGACTTGATACGACTATCTGACACTCTTCCAGTCTTCTCTGCCACCCAGAGCAGTTTCTTCAGTGAAAGCTTCCCAGATGCTTTTTATTCCTAATGCACCTGATCTTTTGAACATCTTTACTCTTGTAGAATATTTGTGTCATTTAGAAATTCACTTCCATGCCAGACATAATACAGTAATGCTTCTCTCAAAGAAGATAATAGTGGTCCCTGGGAATTCAGTTCAGGAGCTTGGCTCCAAAGTGCAGCTTCATATTACCCAATGCAACCAGTAGACCCGGTCCCTGCCCTGCACCCTGCAGCCCAGCACAACTTCTCCAGGCTGCGCAGGATGGTGGCGGGGCAGAGGGCGAGTGAACCAGGGTAGCTGACTGTGCAGTCCTGTTTCATCCTCTCCACTCACGATGCTCAAGCCTTCTTTCTTTTCTCAGATCTGAAGTCCTCATTTGCTCCTCCCTCTCTCCAAATGAGTTCATTTGAACACTTTCCTCAGTGAAGCCTGGGGTAAGGGCACAGGGACCTCGACTTATTTACTAAACCTGTTCTTTTGACAAAAAACTCAAAGAAAAGAGACACGACTTTACAAATCAAAGTCAAAATATAATTAATCGGCAAGAGATATATACATGAAACAATCAGAGAACAAAATCACATATAATGAGTGGCTGAGAGTATAGTGTAGATATTAAGTAGAATAGCAGCTCTGAGGTCAGGTAAATCAGAGAGGCAGGGAAGTGTCCGAAAGATGGAGAAAGATGAACAGGATCTGAGATGAGGGGAATGGGAAGCCAGGAAGGGGAGATGTTGAGGCCTAACCATCCCTCATGATGGGATACCACTGAGTGATGCAACAGGAACTATATTTGAAGAACAAGGAAGGATATTGTGGAGAGGCTTAAATACCAAGGAGAGGAGTTTAAAGAGTAAAGATGTTCAGAATGTAATAATAGAAGCCCTGGAAGGTGTTGGCACGACAGCATGACATGACAAAAGCAATAGCTAAGGAAAATCAGTCTGGCAAAATAGATTGGATTCTAAAGGCTCTGGAGCCCAATCTGAAACCTATTTTTATAGGACCTATAGAGGAACTGCAATGGCCTCAGGCCAGGGTGGAATGTTTCTGAGGAAAAATATAAAACGCTGGTTGGTTGATGGGATTCTATAGAATACAAACTACGTAAGTTAGAAAATTGTGTATTTCTTGTATGAATAAGAGTCTATCATTGCTTAGAATAAGACAGAAGTCTAATTTCTTTTCATTGATCTATTCATGTTATCAGCATACTATTTTCATACTTCTTTGCCTGTTCCTTGAATTAACCAAGCCTTTTCTAGAAAATTATAGAATTTTCTAGAATGAGTACCAGTACCCATTTGAGAGTTCAGTGTACAGTTTATCTTCTAGATAACACGTCAGTCATCTTGATTCTTTTTCCCTCAAAGCTCTTCCTTCTTCCCAGTTGGACTCATGGTAATATTGGTCAGTTTCCTAAGATCTGCTTCTTAGCTACTGTTTTGAACAGTAATCTTCCTCACTATTTCAGCTTAATTTCCAGTTAGGTTGCACCTCAGTTTTCTCCCATTTTCATGCTTATCAACATGGACATAGACAGCTGCTGGTATTTGGATCCTTGCAATGGCTGTGATTTACATCTCAAATGTCTAGCAAAAGTGTCATGTTCAGAGATGGGGCCTTTGGAAGGCAATTAGATCATGAGAGTGTGTGCTCATGGTGGATTAATCCATTGGTGTATTCATTCATAAATGTCCTGTTAGGAAGTGGGGGCTTGTGGGAAGAGGTATGTTGCTGGGGTTGTGACTTTGGAGGACATAACTCCTTCCCTCCCTTCCTCTCTCCCCTTGTCTCTCTGCTTTCTGACTGCTATGAGTTGAGCAGCTTTTCCTCTACCCATACCCTTCAACTATACCATTTTTGGCTTTGAGCCAACTGACTACAGACTGACTCTCCTTAAAATATAAGCCAAATTAAACCTCTCTTCCTCTAAGTTGTGAGTGTCAGGTTGGAGTCTCAGAAATGGAACAGCGAACTAACACAGCGGCATACTTCAGTTTTAGATGATTACCATTTCCATGCACACCCTACATAGTTGTATGGGGTGGGGGCTATGGGGAATCTAACGCAGGACTTTGAACTTGCCTGGCAGGCACTGTGCTGCTGAGCAATATCCCCAGCCCCATAGTTTTTTGACATAAATAATGTGTCAGCTCAGCTTGAAAGGAGAAATACTTTAGCACATCAAGTACAAAATCCAAGAGACTCCGGGGTGGTAGAAGAGGTTATGAGCCTGAACAGACAGGTTTTAAATAGGCTTCAGGGAAAATGTTGAATCATAGAAGGCGACAATACCAAAGCACCACAGTCATGTTCCATTTGACTGGTATAATGTCTTTATTATTGATGTTGTTTTATATACATTATTAGCCACATTTAAAATCCAAAAGATTTCACATAAAAATTCAGAGACATAAATTGCTTGAAAAAAAATCCAAGAAAATGACAATAATCAACTGGGGATGAGTTCAGCTGTCTCCTGTAGGTGAGGAGAGAATTCTCCTCCTCTCCTGCAGTTTTGAGTACTTGACAGAGCCTGTACACAGCTTAACTTGTGGCCCCTGATCTAACCAGTCTCCCATTTTACAGAAAAGGAAACTGAGACACAGTGATGCCAAATAACTTCTCCACTATTACTCGAGAAGTCAATAACAACATTAATATTAGAACTGAGATTCTTGACCCCTTTCTTTGTCTTTTCTGGGTTCTATAGTCGTTTGTTGAATGTAGACTCAGGAAAGCTGGGAAGCGGAAGAAGATGAAGGCCAGAGTGTGTGAAAATACTGAGCAGTTAAAAAAAAAATACCGAACAAGTCAACCAGAGAACAGAAGTCTAAGAAATGTGCATTAGCACATGTGTGGTCCTTGATGGAGTGTTAGTCTGTTATTGTATTTGCTAATTACAATGATGAAAAGGAACCTGTTTCTGAAATAGTTTTTTTCCTTTGATTTTTTGAGATAAAAAATATCGATTTGGAAATACAATCACGTTAAAACATTTTAAACACCATAATTTCTAAATGGAACTCAATTATACCAAATATTTGTGTATTTTTTTCTCCCTTCTCTGATCCTCAATTTATTTCTTTAGAACTCTTGCTAGAACTGTTGGCTCAGTCTCTGTCTTGAATATGTTAAAGTGACATTGGCTCTTGGCTAGAAGCTTGGAGTGGCACTGTGATCCCCACCACCTCCCAGGGCCAGCGGGAGAGGACCGCCATCATCCGCTTATCATTATTGATGTGACCTCTGCTGCATTTCTGTCCAGTGTGATTCTGGATCCAATTCAGAAAACACCTGCTGAAATCCTTGCAAGAAACCCATGTGCATGCCAAGGCCGGATGATTTGTGTCGCTCTTGAACAACGTGAAGGGCAGCCTCTTGGCTCTCCTGTAGGAGTCGTTTTAATCAAAGTCAGAGTTCTTTACAGGTCTGTGCGGTCTGGCATTTCTGTTTTCTGTGTAGCAACATTCAAAATAGACTTTTATCTAAAATGCAAGCAGCGTGGATAATTTTCAAGGCTCTCAGAAGTAGAAAACAGACATGAAAGAAAAATTCCTTTTTCTCTGGAATATAAAAAAGCTTTAAAATTAATACTCTTGTCTCACCACTCTATCTTTTCTCTTCTCAAAGCATTTATATCCTTGTGACTGCTTCCTTTATTGTGGGGAGAGTGGAGAGGTCCTTCCTTCCTCTTCCCCAAACTCTTGGAGCTTTTGGTAAATGTAACAAGATCATTTCCTGCCCAGTGGTGAGGATGTCTGAGAATGTTTTATCCATACTATTTACTCTCTGTCATTTTTGATTTGCCTTTTTTTTTTCTAGTACTAAGGATTAATCCCAAGGCCTTTGCACTGAGCTGTATCCCCAGACCTTTTTTAATTTTTTTATTTTGAGGCACAGTCAGGTTGTCCAGGCTGACCTCAAAAATCTCAATCCTCCCTGCCGGATTTACAGGTGTGCACCACTACATCCAGTTTGTTATTGGTTTTAATATAGGTTCTATATGTCCAATTATTATGTAAATATATGAGTTGTTCATGGGAGATAAAAGCACTGTAGGGGTGTTTGATTCTACGATTTGGCAGTAGAAGATGCTCATACACTAATAGTTTATTTGACCTTAGACCCCATTAACATAATAGCACTAATAATGACATAATAATAATAACTAACATGTATGGCAAGTTTAGTAAATGTTAGAGATGGATAAGGAATTTTGTAGATATTATCTAATTTAATCTTTACTGTGCTTCTAGAGACCTCCAATGGCATGAATAATGTGTGTGGGTTAAGGCTTATTTATGGGCTTAGTGGAGGCAGCAGAGCACAGAACCTGGGATGGGCTCAAATGCAGGAAGGTGGAGGGGTACTGAGCAGGGATAACAAACTGGGGACCCCAAGAGTGGATGCAGCCTACACGTGTGCTCCACTAGGTGTGTACCAGGGCTATTTGAGTGTTTTATCTGGAATGCTGTTGAAGGCGTGTACCCTCCAGCTCCCCAATCCCTATTCTCTTAGTCTATCTGGCCTACCTATTTCTACTTACTAACCTGGTTAAGGATGATCCTGGAACTGAAGTCCTCTGATGTGCAAGACAACCAAGCAACGGGTGGTGCTGATTAGATTTTACTTTTTAGGATACAACTGCAAGTGTGTTTTGGTGTGTAAGATAGATGACCATATTACTAAGTTTTTGTTGGATCATTGAACACAACTGTTTGCAATCTCACTGTTTGAATTTCCACTTTGTATGCTTTAATTTTGTAACCTGAACAACTGTTTCTAAGATGACAGTATGTAGTCTATTGACTAGTGATTTCTTACTGTTTATTTATTTATTTTTTTTTTTTTTTTTTTTGAATTCTGTATTACTTGTATCCTTTTACTGTTTTTTTTTCCTTTAAATAAAAATTTTTTTTAAAGATTTTACTTTTTAACACTGGGTCTTGCCGTGTTCTCCAGACTGGTCTTGAACAATTGGACTCAAGGGATTTTCCTGTTCCCACTCTCCATGTGCTGGCACAATAAGCCCACTGCTGTACCTGGCTGGATTTTATTTTTTGATAATATGCAAACCCAAACTAAAGAATAAGAGAAATGTCACCAAGTAAACTGATCCCATTTTTTCTCTTGTAGGAAGCAAACATGTACTTGTACACTGAGAGATAAAAATCACAAAATAGAATAAAATGCCCTACCGTGGAAGTTGATTCTAACATTGTTAGTTCAAACAGAATTTTCTTTTTTTTTTTATTTTAAAGAGAAATAAAAGATGAATCAAGAAGCAAACAAACCTAAAAAATAGCAACAGCAACAAGAAAACCCCAGCTATATAGGTTTTAAAACGAGATGATAGGAATTTAACGATTGTTGTGATACTACACATTGTTATCTTCAAAATAGTTGCTCAGGTTACCAGACACAGGAATAAAACAAAACAGCAAAATAGAACAAAACACTGAATTTCAAAAACAAGACAGGAGTAAATCCCCCACAGTTCCACAATGCACACTGCCATCCTCCAAGTAGATGCCCAGACCACCAGCCTCAGGCCTGCAAAGTCAGCTCATGGGAAGGCACAGTTTGTCTCCTTGCTAAGCCTCTTCCCAATCCGCAGGCAAAGCCTGGTTCACGGGATGGTGTGGTTTTCTGACAGCATTTTCTTGAGCACCTTCTGTGTAGAGCACATCTCTGGTTCCATGTCAGTGAGGCTGAGCCCTGATGGTCATGCCACCTCAATGTCCAAAGGAGACCCAAGGGCCATAGCTGAGTTCTCCCTTTCATTCCCTTACACATGTGGCCCCAAGTTTGCCCTGCCTGAGCCCCAGTAGCCAGAAGATAAGTGAGTTCCCAGGAGTTTAAGAAGCCAGACAAGAAGTTAAGCCTCAGCAGGAAGAGAAAGAGACAAGGTCTTTGTGCCAACTACAAAATAACAGATACCAAGAGTAGAATATTCTCAGGAAGAGAAGTTGATGCAAGAATTTCCAGGGAAAAAAATGAAAAATTGAACTAACAAGGAGAGAAATAATAAAATCAAGTTAAGAAATGGCACATTGTGATGAGAGCTATGTTGATAATGATGAACACTTTTCCCTAGAGACATTTAAAATAAACTCTAAGAAAGAATGAGAGATAAGCTTTAGAAGAACCCTTCACTGACGTGTCTAAGTGGCCTGATTAAGTCTTTTCCATCTTTGCCTTTCAGTTCTGGCCGCTGGCTGTCTGGCATGATAATTCCCAGGCAGGCACATGGTCCTCTCCATTGTGAGGGTTCTGGATGAGATAGCAAACCAGATGGCAGAGCCAGGAGCAGCTTCCTGGGAGCCTCTTTCTCTGCATTCTCTCTACTTTCCCTTCATCTTCTGCCTTCCCACGTCCTCTTTCTCCCTCATCACATTAAATGTGGCTGCCATCAAAGAAAGAAAGCAAAACCTGAGAAGGGCCGTAGTGCAGGTTCTTTCCAATAATAACCTTGGCAGATAATCTTGCACAGACAGAGTGAATCGTTTACTTGTAGCTGAGATCAGGGGCTGCATTCCTCCCAGGAGAAAAAACACTTATATTGACGTGTTTATGTTTTGGAATAATAATATTTGTCCATGTGAAAATATGTGTGATTCATTTCTGCCACACCATATGGCTTATTGCTATTCATAATCCAAACAGTAGCAGCTGCTGCAGAATGTGGGAATGAATTTTCTTGAAGTAAAAATGAACTAGCTATTGCATGCCACATATAGTTTGTAAATATCACTAATTCTTCACCAGAAACTTATTTGTCCCATTAATCCATTATGTTCTCCATTGATTTCTCCAATGTTTTCCATTATTCTGTCCACTTTCATTTTATCCAGTAAAGAAACTGATTCAACCCTACCTCAATCAAAAGGTAATCATTGTATATCTTGGCAACATGGGTGTGTATCAGCCAAAGAAGTTGGCAAGTGAAGGCCTCAGTTTGGCCTTTCCTGCCTGGTGACAGCTACCAGAAAAACTGCAGTTGTGTTTTTGCCCTGACTCTGCAGTGTGGCTTTTTCCACTGTTTAACCACATTGTGTATCTATGGTTCATCAGACATATGAGGGCAATGAAGCAGCTAATGATCCCCACCACCACCCCCAACTCCACAAGCCCACTTGTCAAGCCTCTATATCATAGAAGATGTAAGGTAACAGTCTCTATAGACCATTTGGATGTGGTTTACAAAAGCCCTGGAGGCATAAGAAGGAAGTGATTTGTGAACTAAGTGCTGGATGCTACTGTAGAAACAGCCACAATCAACAGCAAATACACCAGTGTCCCAGGAGGAAAGTTTCTGCATGACTTGTTTATATCCCTACCTAGTCATTCCGAGTTCCCCAAAAAGCTGGAGATTTTAGAAAAACAATACACTCCAGACTGATTCTATACATCACTATGGTGAGGATGGTGAATATTTAGAGCCTTTAACTAAAAAAAGTCCTGGGTAAATGCTCCAACCTTCAGCCTCAAGTGAAAGCATAAAGGAAATTGTTTCGCTGTCCCACTTTAGCTTGTTCAGTCATAACAATGTCTTCCTTTGCATGACAGATCGCCGTTTTCTTTTTATATGTGTTATTTGAGACTCTTTCCCAAGACTTGGTGACCCACGTCAATGGACATTCTGAGGCTAGCACATTATCTCTCTCCCATGTGCTTGCTCTTGTTTCCATCATAGCAGGTATCATTAATTTCCAGCTGGTGTCGTTGTCTTCCTATAGCAATTTGTCTCTTTCAGGTGTCTGTTGGTCCATCCTCTAAGAACCTGTACCTTTCTCACAAGTTATAATAGGGTGATTTATCAGTGTCGTTCACCTCACTCAGCCACAGGAGAGCCACCAGGAGATGTTGCAGAGTAGGTCCACGCTCCAGCCCTGTAAACCACATTCTTCTGACTTGAAATTGCATTTCATGCCCTTCCTTCCGGGACTTAACAAGAGGTCTTGGAGCTGGCCTCCACTTACCCTGCTGGCTACTCTCCTTTTGCTTTCAAAGCATGTTACACAATTATTTTATAAGCCTTTCTTTTCAGAAAGAATATCTGATGGCGTTCCCAAGTCACTTGTATTAAAAAGCTGTGTGTGTGTGTGTGTGTGTGTGTGTGTGTGTGTGCCTGTCTGGCTGTTACTCACTTACGTGTTTCTCATATTCATAACCTCCCTGACTGAGGCCACGTAGGAAATTGTCCCTTGTCCCCTGTGATTTGATTTCATGGCTAAATCGTCCTAACAAAGCTTCCTAATGGAAGATGTTCAAAATGTCCCTATGTTTTGTTCCTGCCTTTTCCCAGTCCCTAGAAAAACTTCCAACTAAATGCTCAACCCTAACAATTTCCTGAACCAACCGTGATAGCAGGGACTCATCACGTGAGCTGTGGTTAGTCCTGTAGTGCTGAGCCTGGTGTTAGTGGGCCTGGGTTGAGCCCAGGGCACCCCTATCTGCTCACTTATAGCTGAGTGCATTCCTTACCCGGCTAGTGAGCATTCACAGATGCTTCTATTTCTGACTTAGGGTGAGGGAGGGTGCTGTCCTCCAACAAAATACCCCACCTGCCCTTAGTAGTGCTGCTGGGCAAGTTTGGCCTTCCTTCCATCGCCTCAAGATTCCTCCCAAGGGTGCCTAGAAATGGGCCACATAATTTTCATAGGCCTTACACATTTTACCCTTGCTCTACAAAAAAACACACGTATTTCCCTTCCTACATACATGTATTTCCCTTCTTCCACTATCTATCTATCTAGATAGTATCAGCATAAAAACTAATAACATTATATATTAAACTATTAACATTATATATTAAAGCATTTTCTTTGACCAAAAAGTGTATTTTTTTCTTGTGACTTAATTTCTTTAATTGAAATTAATACATTTTCGTAGTCCCTAAAAATATTGTGAGGTTATGGTGCTATACCCAGAGCACCTGACAGATACATCAGTCCCACCTGGCAGACCCTCTTGCTTTACATCAATGTTTCTCAAACTTCATATTTTTACAAACCACGCTTAAAATTTTATATTATAGGGCTGGGGATTTAGTTCAACAGCATAAGCGCCTGCCTGGCAAGCATAAGGTCATGAGTTCGATCCCCAGTACCAAAAAAATTATATTGTATTGCACTTCTCCATTACTAGTTTTCATTTAACATTTTTCTTTACAGTTACCTCTTTCAAAATTTTGATAACTACTTTGAAAAGAAAATTTTTATAATTAGCATAAATCTGGTATAACTTGTCATAAGTTGAAAATATAAATTAATGTAAATTACCAAATATATCTTGCATTCTTAAAAATTAAGTTTTTTCATATTCAGCTTCACTCTGGTGAATTCTACTCTCAGCACCTCTCATACTTTTCTAGGTCTAATTTGTGCTTGAGTCTGTTTCTAGCTCAAACATACCCATCCTGCTTAGAGTTTCTTATTTATTCACTGTTCACCCACTCCACCCAGCCACTGTCAACATTTTTGTTCTAAAAGAGTTGGATCCACTGGAGCCACCCAGCTGAAATGTCACTTACAGACCATCTACCCTCATCAGTTGGGTCTTCTGGGAAACAGCACAGCTGTGTCGTCCTGACTTACCATTTCTCTATGGCAGCACTGCCCAGGGGTGCTTTCTACACTGATGGGAATGTGCCCTCCCTACTCTTGCTGGTATAGCACCCACTGTGCTATGATTCCATTCTTAAATAGCCTTCACATGTCTCACATGTTCAGGGACAAGGCTTTTGTGAAGTAACTGGATCAGGAGGGCTATAGATCCATCACTGGATCATTGATGAGATTATAATTTGATAGCATTATTGGGAGTTAATAGAAACTTAGCAAGCAGGGCCTAGTTAAAAGAAGTGGCAATGGAGTTGTAAGCTTGGAGCAATATGGTGTCCGTGACCCCTTCCTCTCTGGGTCTCTTGCTCTCTCTCCTTCCTGGTTGCCATGAAGTGAGCAGCTTTCCTCCGCCACATTCTTCTGCCATGATGTTTCCATTTTGCCCCCACACCTAAAAGGAACAGAGCCAGTGACCATGGACTGAAACCTCTGAGACCATGAGCCAAAATAAACCTTTCCTTCTTTATGTTATTTCTCAGGTACTTTGTCACAGCAACAAAAACTGACTAACACACACTAATACATGTGACCTTTATGCATTTGAAACATGGCTAGGTTGACTATAGAACCTTTTATTTGAGTTTAATTCTTTTAAATTTAAACTCTAATGCTTTAAATAACTAGTGGCTACCATATTCCGCAGAGCACCACGGCAGCTCAGACACTGGAATTTTGACTGATGAGCATCAGTCTTAGACTTTAGGTTCCTGTTTTTTCTACCTCAAAAATGATTACCACTTTCTCTCAGGCCTATCCTGCCACACAACCAAGTTTGTTAATGACACAGAAGTCATTTAAGCAGTTCTTGTTTATATGAGCAAATGGTCTGAGTGAGGTGTGACAGAAGGTATCAGTAATGGAATGTGGGGGTCATTTATGATCTGGAGAACCCTAGGGAATTGGAGGAGGGAGCAGAGCAGGAAGAGGGAAGTGTCAAGGATTAATTGCCTCCTCTTTTTCAGCTATGCCACAATAGCCAAAATCTAAACTGTATTAATATGATTGTGAGGTTCCGGGAGCAGTTGTTTGTTTGTTTGTTTGTTTGTTTGTCTTTGAGACACAGGGTCTTGCTATGTAGCTGAGCCTGGCATTGAATTCACTATGTAGCCCAGGCTGGCTTTGACCTCCCAGTAATGCCCAGCCTCAACCTTGCGAATGCTGGAGTTACTGGCATGCACCACCACACCTAGCTAAACTCTTTTAATATTTCTGAGCATTCTCCTTTCTTTCCCATTTTAAATGATTGTCAGTCCTTAAAGGTTCATTTTCATGTAAGCAGTCTGCTCGTAATTTGTTCTTAACCTGCTAAACAGCAGCTTGAGCTGAATCTAGGCTCCAGGCTTTGTTGTTAAAATCTGGGGACCACAGTGTTGAATCAACTTCAGGAGAAAACCTGGCCCTCTCTCCAATGTTCAGTGAGGGTACAAGTACCCATGATTTCAAGTATACTCTGAGGATTACAGTAATGGCACTCACTTGAGTGGCACACACAGACAACCACCAACACATTTCCCCTTACACTCTCACACCTGTTCCTTATAAACTGAGTCCCCCCATTCTCTGTAGTGCCAAACCTCTCAGCAATGGCAACTGGAATGGGATGATAAAGTTGAGTTTCTGAGCCGATCGCAGAACATCACTTAGTGATTTGAGAAGAGGAACATAATCTAACAGTTGTGTTTTTGTTAGCTTTTTGTTACTATAATGAAACATCTGAGGCAGATTACTTTATAATAAAAATAGATTTATTTTGGCTCATAGTTTTGGAGGTACAAGGACTAGAGGCCATATCTGGCCATAGCTTTTTTGTTTCTCAGAGTCCTGAGGCAGTACAAAGCACCATGAGGCAAGAGGCATAGAGCTTACATATTTTGTAATTCTATGTCCCTTCTTGTGCTTATAAAGCCATCAGGATTTCATCATTTGAGCACTGCTCTGCACCCCATAGTCCTATGAATTCTCCACCCTCTGAACACCATGAACATGACGGTAGGAGTTCTATTCCTACACGAGCATGGAGAAGAAGAGTGCTCGTATTCAAGCCTTTCAGACCAGCCAGTTCAACTTCTCAGCTAAGAGAAGTTGGCTAAAAGGATGTTTAGAAAAATGTTCCTACTAACAAAAAAAGAAGCATAGAAAACTACCCTTCTGCCTCCACTGGCATTGTTGAGTCTACAGTGGAAGCCAGAAAGTGTAACTGCCATTTTTCATCCTTGAAAACACCAACCTGAGGATGATGTGGCAGCTCCATGATACCGTGGGACACGGAAAGCAGCAGGATAGAATTAACTCTGAAGCAAATGCAGACTTTGTGAAACAATAAGCCTCCTAGCAAGTAATACCATTTTGAACTGAGTCTTCTTTTATTAGCACCTGTAGTCATCATTATTGATAAAATCAATAAATGCTGGCATTCTTATTGCTGCAAATTTGACTTAAACCCTTTCCCCTTAGACACAAGGGATAGTTTTAGCTTTTCCTTGACATTTCTGACACAGGTTCCTATTTTACTTCTTGGGATCCCTCTGCACAAATCACTGCCAGATTTTATTTTTTCTTCATTTTTGACCTGGGCATAAAGGACCGAACAGATGCTATTTTCCACTACATTGCTATTGAACACTGTGGATAGTAAAATTAAACCCTAATAGCAAATTACAAATAGCAGGGGGAAAAATGTGGCCATTTGTTATATGCCTTTCACTGCAAATATAAAATATGGTTCTGTTTTCATCCTTTAAGAATGAAGTCTTTTTCTATTGAACATGGAGTATTGAACACTTTTTTAATGGACACAATTTTATTTCCACTGTGGAAAAGATACAAATAACAGTATCTTTCTCCCCTAAGCAGAAGTCCTTCAGGGAATCTGTCTTCACTAATATGTGTATTGATGCACATACACCTTTCCCATTAATATTAATAGAACCTAATGCAAATGTATAAATCACCTGCATTCTGATTCCATGTGAATCTGATGTAGGATGACTTAAGGTGAATTCACAAGATGCATTTGTCTGGGAGCGATTCCTTAATATGCCTTCATCTCACAGCTGCATTCTCTCCTGTGACTGAAATATTAATCAGAGCCTGGCTCTTTTGCTCCCTCCTTGCACACACACCTCCGCCGCAGAAGACATCATGGAGAAGCATCTGTGAAGCCCTGTGCTTCTGCCTAACTAGAGTCATACTGCGTGAAGTAAGAAAAAAGACAGAAAATATACATCGAGAAAGATTTTCCTTTTATGAGGAGGATCGTGCAGGGCTTGGCTACACTAAATGTGCATGAGTTTCTTAATCCTAGGAGTGTTGGTGACACAGGTCCAGTGTGAGGAATTTATGCATCTTTGTTCCCCACCTTTATCCCACTAGTTGTCATTATATGAAGCATCTTTCCTCTCTATATACTGTGCAATAAAAAAATATAGTGAATGTTTGAATTAAAATTTATTACATTGGGGCTGGGGATTTAGCTCAGCGGCATAAGCGCCTGCCTTGCAAGCAGGCAGTCATGAGTTCGATCCCCGGTACCGGTAAAAAGGAAAAAGACAAAAATAAATAAATAAAATAAAATAAAATTTATTACATTAAAGTACATATTACAGAATGTATCAGTCCTTCTCCAAAAACTGTCTCTTGCTTCACACTCACTTTTTCCCAGCTTCTTGCCATTTTCTGAAGCCATTCTGGAAGTCTTCTTTAAGAAGTCCTAAATAAAATCCTAAAGGAAGTCTTTTCAGCTGCACGACTGTGACTGCCTAGATGTCTTAAATCCATTCTGAATGTTCCACCTTGCATGATCATTTTGACTTTAAGGAAGAACTAGAAGTGGCACAGAACCAGATTTCATGAATATGGTGGCTGAAGGCACAGCACACTGTTTTCATTTGACAGAAATTGCCATTCACATTTTGAGTTGCTTCAAGACATCAAGGAATGGCTGGGGATTTAGCTCAGTGGCACAAGCACTTGTCTCACAAGCATGAGGTCCTGAGTTCGATCCCTGGTACCAAGAAAAGAAAAAAGACATCTAGGCAACCACAAAAAGGCATTCGCAGCAGCATCCTTCCAAAAGTGCTTTGGAAAGTGTTAAGGATGATGGGACGAGTGTATTCAAAAAAGGGGGCCATTTTGAGGAAGATGAATGGCAATGTATCTGTTACTGCAACACAATTGTTTTTAATTTAAGCACTCACTGTATTGTTTGATTACACCTTGTAGCTCAAATCTCCCACAGCTGTTTTGGCTGGCAGCCACTGTGTGCCCTCAGGAAAAGATGTATTCTAAAGCACTTCCCAGCCGGAACATCTTCCAGTCTGCACTGGTCCACCCTCATCTAACTATGGCTCTTTAGCTGTCTGATCTCCTCTCTGAATCAGATTCTGGCCACAGTCATTGTTCCTGGGACTGTCTTTGGTTTTACTGTAGTATAAGCACACGCATGCACGCGCGCGCGCACACACACACACACACACACACACTCTGTTGTATCATCTGCCCCATCTCCTTTCTTTCAGAGACAACAAAACCTAGCATCAAACAGAAGGAAACAAGATCATGAGCAAAATCCTACTGACTTCTTGTTAGTACTAGGTTACATATTGGAAGTATGAAATATGAGCACTGAAGGGAGCCTTTGCACTGCCTCACAGTAACGTCTGTCCAGAGCCCTGATTTGTCGCCCTGGCCATATCCTCTGCCTGGCAGCCTCTCTTTACCATGGTAAAGCCGCTGGTGCTCCTTATATAGATACAGGAACTGAGGCTAATTAAAAATGCCATAAAAACTGTATCATTGCTTTCTAAATTAATAATCTAGCAGTAGCTCAATTTCTTTTCTAGTCCAAGAGAGTAAGGAAATTATTAATCATAGAACTGCTTGAATAAATCTGACAGATCTTAATTCTCAAAAGTGAAGTGAAATTTTCAGTGAATCTTGGGGTCTACAAAAGCTTTCAGAGTTAGTTCAGTCATTATAATCTGCTCGAATCCAAGGGAATATTAGGATTAAGATAAACTCTAAACTCTAATAATTAAGTATTACTAAAAGGTACTGACTTATAATAGATCTTCTAATATGACTTTAAATGGAGACATCTTTTTTTTACATGTAACACTCTTTCTAGAACCTGTCCTGAAGTTATTAGGATATTATTATCCAGTTTATAAGATGTAAAGTTCCACCAAAAAAGAAAACAGTATTAAGTGAAGAAGACTGGGTAACATGCTAATGCTATTATCTGCATCAAGGAAAATGTGATAACTTGGACCAGAAGCTGTGAACTGGAGCATCCTCACCCTCATGGCCTCTTACAAAATTGTGAATTAAATGTGTGCCACCAAGATCAGTAACAAGTGTATTCTTTATTCACTTATTGACAACTTAATCCATGTCTTTTGTGGATCAAACCCTGTCCTAGAAATAAGTACAAACAGAAGACACGTCCTCAACCTTTCGGGGTGTCCCAAAAGGCTGAAAGAAAGCCTTTGGAAGGGCCTACAGGAAAGCTGGAATTTATCAGGGCATCTCCACCAGTTCTCTCACATTCTCCTAATCATGGGTACCCCAGACTCCATTTTATAGCTGAGATCCAGAAAATTAAAAGTAACTCACCCATGATCACACAGTCTTGGGAAGAAGTAGAAATCAGACCTTCATACATCCGTCTCCAAGTGCCCTTTCAATTGCACCAGTCAGTACTACACTGTGCGACCTCCACAGCCATGGGAGACAGCCTGACTGACCTTGAATAGCTGCCATTCGCCGTGACAGTTACCCTGCCTCCGAAAGTGTCACCATCAGTTGGTATAGTGAGCCCACATTCCTTCTCTAGAGCACTCTGAAATGGGGAGAGCAGCAAGCAGTGCTGTCCTTGTGTGACCTTGCTGCGTCACTGTCTGCTGCTGGAAGCGCTCTCAGGCACACCTGAGTGGCCCCAAGGAATGTCCCATCTCATCTCCAGAGAAAGAGTGTTCCTTTTTCTAAGCAGGGAGCCACACAGTATCACACTAAATATTCTAGTAGTTCCCCGAGGATATATTAGACAGCAGGCAGCCCCTGGAAGAGGAGAGCTGGGGCAGACACTAGGAGTTTAACGAAAGCCAAGAAAAAAAGAAGCCTTTTTTACCCACCCTGTCAGCAGGAGAGGATCACCAGGCCACGCAGAGCACCTTCAAATACACACAAAGGTGAGAGGAACCACACCTGGGTGATCCAGGGTCTGCCATGGGGCTCAAGCTGGCACTGAGGCTGGGAGGGGTAAATACGAAGACAAACCCAGACAGTGCCTCAACAATGATGAAGAATCTGGATCTTGGGAACCAAGGAAAATACCAGCATAGGGAAACAGACAGGTGTACAGTTGCTCATTCTCAATCCCAAGGTCTGAGACACTTGAAAAGTGAACATTTAAATGGCAGAACCTGTCCTGAAGTGATGCAAGGCTATAACATAATTCTGACTAATTCTTCTTAATGGGAATACTCACAGTTCTACTACATAAATGTTCAGATACTTGATTACAGATGATTCTGGAAGTGTGCAGTAGCACATGTGAAATCTTGAGACCTAAACTTCAGAATATGTCTGGTCCCAAGGGTCTCAAATAGGACTGTGTGTCCTGCATAAACTTTGGCATTATCTCATTTAATTGTCCCAGAAATATTAAGAGCAAGTCTCATCTTCCCAATTTTATAGATTTAAAAAGCTGCATTGAGAGAAATAATTATTTGGACAAGATCCCACAACCAATGCAAAGAATGTGAAGCCTGAACCCAAAACTCTCCCTGAGCTTCTGAGTCTGTGCCACGCGGAGACTGGAAAGTGTGGCAAGTGGTGGCCCAGGGGGAAGGGAACTCAGGGACACTTTTGAGGAGAACATGTTCCTCTGTGCCTTGTGCTCTCTTGGCCCTGCCACTGTACATCCTCACAGATGTCTTGGTTTTTGTAAGAAAGGAGAGAAAGAGAGAGAAAGAGACAAAGACAGAAACAGAGACAGAGACAGAGAGACAGGGAGGAAGGAAACTGCAAAGCTAGAAACTCCTGTCAGCATAACATTCTAGAAATATTAGGTGAGAGTGATCTTTGGAGCACTACAGTCTTCCGGAGACATCAGAGTAGCTCCAGACCAGGTTCTTTGAACCTAAAGAAGTCTCAGATTTTTCAGTGCACCCAGTGAAAGCTCTGAGTCTTCTCCATAGGAGACTGAACACACAACTCCACAGTCAGAATTCCTCATGTTATTAAAGGGGATCCTGAAACATGATCCCAGATTCAAAATCTCAGGCTTTGGGGAAATAAGCACGGGAAAAAGTTAACAGCCAAATTCAACTTTAAAGAACAGAGATCATTTTAATTAATATAGTTCGGTGATTCTGATTAGATATAATTGCTATAGGAGCCTGGAATTCCCTGACCAAAAGGGCCAAAAGGGTATGTAGTGGTGTGTGTGTGTGTGTGTGTGTGTGTGTGTGTGTGTGTGTTGGGAGAAGCTGGAGGTGGGAAGTGATTATTCTACTGTGTCAAGAAAATTGCCCCTACAGGTATTGTTAAACCCTCATCCTTCCATTGGTCTCTGCTTTTATAAACAAGCAACTGGCTAGGCCAGAAAGCAAGGGTTACATTAGAGGTCTCTTTTCAATTCCAGGATTGTGTAATTATCTTTTGTCTGTATGTGCTGGGAGACTCTGGATCTCCTAGGCAGATTCCTTTTCATCATCCCCGATACTAAAACTTGCAAACCACTGTCAAGGCCCAACCATAAAGAATCTCCAGCTGGCGTCTTAACTGTCTTGTTTATTTCCCCCTTGCTCTTTTGATTTACTAGGGTTATAAGCCATTATTTTCTAAAACTAAATGTTTCCTAGTCTTTTATGTCTCTGGTTTGATAGTGATGATAACCTGCTCCCACGGGTATAAAACTGCAAATGATGAATAGAAGTTTGCCCATCATTAGCCAGAGCGGAAAACAGCTCCGTCTCAGAAATTCAAAAAGTTGATAGTGGCAGATTTTGTTTTTTTACGTGATTACCTTTATGACAGTTTTGTCACTTAGCACCAACTACGGTGTACTCCGGACTGGCTTTTTGTCTGACAGTGGTGTTCACAGCTCATGACACTGGGCTGAAGCTGCTTCTGATTTGTGTATATGGTAATTGATAGAAACTGATGGTGCATGCATTTTGAACTTGAAGTTACAAAATAGGCATGTTAGTGCAAAGTGCTTGCATGTCGCTCATTTCCTCACGTTAATACATAAGATTAAATGAAAAATTCAGTTTTGCGAAAGTGGTGAAGTCCTTGGTCTCTAGAATTAATCCAGCTTTGGTTTACATCTTGAATCCGTTGCTTATATATTAACTGTATGGCTACAGAGGCTATAGATAAGTTGGTTATCTCTTTATGCCTCCCTCTGTGGGATTATAGATAGGATTACCCCAAAACAAGAGTTTTAGGATTGAGATAATGCACATAAAATGCTTAACACAGTGTCTAGTCTGGTATGTTTGCTATCATCAATATTATCTCTCAGAATAATGATTCCCAGCTCTATTCTCCCACAAATTCTCTCTCTAGCAGGTTCAGCTTAAATTCAACAGAGGCTCAACATATGCTAAGATGTATATGTGGTATGTCTCCCAGCTCTAAAATATCAGGAAATCCATGCATTAATGAAAGAGAGGGGAGGTGGCTCTCATATTACCACAGTACTTTGCCTGAAAAGTGAGATTTCCAATCTCTATTAAGAGTAGCTCTTTTTTTCCCTACTGTTTAGCAGCCTGTAGGGGCTCCTGCTCAACCGAGCTAAGCAGGGAGAGAAAGAAAATGATTGTGCTCATTGCACCTGGCTGTAACTTATGCCTTTTCTACTCTGCTTGGCCCTGTGGTCATCACAGGATGGGTCCAGAAGTTCTACTCCTAAAAGAAGCATCCCGGGGATCAGGCAGGCCCATCCCTTACACCCCTGTGATCCTTTTCCCAGAATCCCAAATGCCTGCTTCATCTGGGTCACCATGGAGATTTTGCCTTGCTCTCTCCTGCTCTGCAGAGTTGGACTGGATGTCCTGAGAGCACAGCACAGACTGTCTGTGGGAAGGACAGCTGGCCTTGCTTGATGTTTCTGTCGGCCTTAAATAGCTTTGAGCCTAAAACCACCTGTCATATTCCAACTGAAATCCAGTAAGTGTTTGAAAGAAAATCACCCTAGTGGGAAACAGGTAGAAAACCAATCAATAGTTTTCCTCTTTTGGTCAAAAGGTGCAAATCTTAGGTAAATGAGAACTTCATAAAATTTCAAAGTGTAGAGAAAAGTCCGCATCTCCTGAGAATCGGCCATGCTGGGACTTGGGGGACCAACCAAGAAATCAGCAAGCCAGCCTTCCTGGTAAGCTACGCGAGCCATGGGCATTCTGGGGAGCATCTCCCATGAGCCTATGGCGCACAGCCTGAGAGTCAAACACCATCCATATCCCCCTCCCCCTGAAGTCCCCAGCCCATCCCCTACCCCCTCACCCCCATTTAGCAACCAGATGGTTCCGAGGACAGCCCGAGTTGATAGCAACTAAGGTATATAAAGCAACTAAATGCTTGTATTGTTGGGTTGATTATGCTGACCCAGGACAGTGGTCTGAGCATCTCTTAGGAGGATGACAGTATGCAGTATAGCAAATATGGGGGATTTCCTGCTATCTTGTCTTTGAAGTCCAGTATTGTTTTCACTGTTTTGCTTTGACCCAATTGTTTTGCTTTATTCAATATTCTGTTTTGATTGATTTTATAGTGCTTTGTTTTTGGTTTGGTTTTGCTATACCTGATGGAATGTACAACTATTGTGAAGATAACAAGATACACTGTGGTAGCTATTATTGTTTTCCTAGTATCCTGCTTTGAAGTTCTGTGCCAATTTTACTGCATTGCTCTGATTGGCTTTGTTCTGTCTTGTTTTGTTGGATTGTACTATCTTTAAAAATAAAAAATTTCAAAATGTGCATCTCACTGAGGCAGAGGTTCTAGAAAAAGGAGAAAACAACTTGAGATTTGCTATGCTTAAATCTCAGAAAATAGGTCCTTCCAACTTTGCACAGCAAAAGTGATGCTGAGGATTTATCTTTCCTTTTCTTTTTTGTGTGGCTGGGGACTGAACTCAGGCCCTGTGCACGTTAGGCAAGCGCTGTACCACTGAGCTTCACTCTCAACCCTAGGATGTCTTCTATTTCGGGAGGGTGCTCTGCGGGAGAGGAAGCTGCCTTTGACGAGGCTATACATAATGTTTTCCAAGTAATCTTTCTCCATGATTGCTGGTAAGGAAACTTGTAATAGGATGAAACATTTAAAACTGAGACTCTTTTAAAAGCAAGATTATACTGAACATCTTATTACTGATGATAAATTCAATATACCTTCATTGTATCTCCAGATGAAGCATTCAAATTTAGAATCAGATAGAATCAACCTGCATAGTGTCCACAAACATTTCCATAGAACTAAAATTTTGTTCTGGTGGGCAGAACTATCAGAAAATATCTTACTTCAAAAAAAATGTTTTCCTGGCAGCACTATAACCAGTAATATCCCCTGACATGTATTCTAGGCAATGATTTTCCAGGATACGAATAACATGAAGGAATTTGCAGTATTACTTCCCCACATCTACTGTTAACAGATTTTTCCCTTTTCTACTAATACTTTTACTTTCTAGAGACAAATGCCTGTATTTTTTGTTTGTGTGGCCTTTTGTACCTTTTTGTGTTTGTGCAAATCATATTTTTAGCGTTTAGTCATTTCGGTAACTTTTTATTAATATAAGACTTGTGGTTACAGGAGAGAAAAGCATGAACTATATTGAATTACTGTCAGCAGGCAGTGAT